GGAATCAGGCAAACTGGAAGATTAAACATGTTAAAATTACTTGTAGTAATGCAATTGCCTTATGAAAATGAACAAAAAATGAAAGTAATTTTTGAATCTTCATGTAGATTAAAAAGCATAAGAATTGCTCGGAGTATTATTCACTTTGTTCACTACTGCTTTAGCACAATATAAGTAAGTGTGTGTGTGTATATATATATAAAATATAAACGTAGTATAGGCTTAATGGAATTTCATATAGGTGGCATATGCAGTAAACTTTTGTTGATTTCTATAGTTCTGGGAAAGCTAATAATTTTTAGCATCATCAGTGTGGGATAACTGTATTCAGAGGACAGAGCAAACATGTTGATATATTTCAATAGAAGTTATGCAGATTGATTGTCATGGTATTATACAGGGACAGATATTTTCAGTATACTTGTGAATCACTGAACAGTTGATAGTGCAGAGCCACAGTTGAAAGAGGGTTCTAACATTTGCTTTTTCCATTTTTTGGAGTGAAAAAGATGTAGAGAAAAGGAGTTTGGGCTTTCTGACTGTTCTGATAAGCTGCAATGCAGTTTGTGATCTGTTATAACCTTCTGGGGGAATCTTTTCTTTAGCTCTCTCTAGAAATCCATTGGTGCTCCTGAAGAGAGATTAGGCAGGCAGGTTTGCAGAGTCCTATGTTGAAATCTTCCTGCTTTTTAATTGCATAGTAAGGCACAAGTGCAGGTTTTGGTGTTTTAGGGGTTGTTGTGATTTTGTTTTTTTTGTTGTGGTTGTTTTGTTTTGGTTTTCTGGTTGTTAATACTATAGTTGCTGATTTCAAAGTTTGCCTCTTATTTTTGAAAGTCTAAGCCAAACAAAAAAACAGAAAACTTGAAGTTTGTAGGACCTTTTAAAAGTTGTAAGAGTTCTAACAAGGGTGGTAATAATTCTGAAGTGTTGATTTTTAAATCTACGTTGGGCTTTAAGAAGACATTCCATGCCATGTATTGCTGGAAAAACCATGATCCTCATTTAACCTGCAGCATGTACACTGTTTAGGTCAAAGCTCAGTTGAACTGTACTATTGTTGCAAGTTCTTTAAGTATGTGAGAATGGAATCTATACTGTACTTTCTCTCATATAAAATTGTAGTGTTTATTTTTTCCATTTAACCAGTCATCATTACTATACAAACAACGATTGCATGATTTTTCTTTTATTTTTCTTTTCTTGCCTTTATGCATTTAGAATTGCTGAACACCAGTCTGTTGCCTTTCCCCCATAAGTGTGCTATCACTTGTATATTAGGCTTTCCATAGAATGTCTCGGTGGAAAATAAAACATTTCAGTTTTGGGCTCACCTCCTTTGAGTATGGTGTTTTACTTAATCACGTGTGTCATGAAAAATTACTGTTGTCACTTACTTTGCCTCTTGTATGAACTACATTTTTTAGTAATTGTTGAAACATATTAATTCATTTTAATTATGAATTGGTAAAAACTGACTTATGCAAATGAATTGGAAGTGAATTTCCTTGGTTTGAGAAATTACAGTTCTGTATCAAAGACTTACACTTTATTCTGGGAAACAGATAGTTACTAGCAGAGCAGTCTGTTAATCCTTTATTTTATCATTCTTGAAAGACTGCAGTTTGTTTTACCCTGTGGTTCAGGATCAAACTGCAGTCAGTTATAACAATAAGACCTAAAAAATGGAGAAAAAAGTTCCTTTAGTTTGTGTCAGTTAATATGAGTAGAATTAAGTTGTTTAGCTGACGTCCTAAAAGTGGACCAGTTAGAGGCTTTCTTAACACAAATGTGTAAAGTTTTGATTATTTATTAATATTGTGCTGAGATATAACTCTAGGGGGGAAAAGCATTCTTATATTGTATTATACCTCTGCTTTTATTATACTATGAGTATATGAAAATGTATGGTTACATAGTGCTTAATAAGCCTGAAGGACATTTTTGGCTTAATGTAACTGCTTTGCTTGTATTTCAGGGAAATTATCAATTCACTGAATGTATATTAACAGTCAGCAGTGGTTGGTAAGCAGTCATTTGATGTTTGTTTTTAATCATAACAGGAATTTCCATTTTTTACCTTGACGACCTTTCCATCAGGCTTCCTTGTCCATGTTGGTGGTGTTGTCAGTGCACGGTCTGTGAAGCTCTTGGATCGCATTCACAATCCCGGTATGTTAACACAGTAACAGCTTCCTTGCCTAAGTCCAGTTGTAATGATCACATACTTCTAGTCTTCGTAACTTTGTAACATATCAGTATTTGGATAGATGCAAATCTATTCTAACAATGTGTATTAAAAGCAGTATTTTTCTGAGAATCATGTAAGCTGGAAAAAAAATAGTTATTCAGAGACTATGTTTTTAGTGAGAAATGTTTCAGCAAGTTAATGTAATAAAAAAGTACTTTGAATGCAGTAAATTTGTGCTAAAAATTGTCTTTGAATTATTGAGGGTTTAATTACTTTTTACCACATTTTAATATTAAAACTTGATGCAAAATTTCCATTCAAATACAAATAAGAATAAATACTTGATCTTAACTTGAATGTTTTCTAATTTTCAGCTCCTTGAGATCCTTAAAGACTAATCAATTTGTTTCTGTTCATAAAAACATACACTGAACAGTGCTTTAAGATTTTTATTTAAAAATAAAAATACCTGGGAACCCTAGTACTGAAACATGTGTATTTTGCATGTTCTCATTCTGACATCAGAATTAAGTGAGTTTAGACTATGAAGACTTTGTTGTTATATTCACTGAGACAAGCTGAGGGATACTCTGTACAAAGGTAGAGTTAACAGTGAACTTAAAAATACAGACAGAAGAGAGTAAAAAATATCACCTGGAGTGATTTTGCAGACACTAGTCAGGAGTAATAAAACAAAGTATGTGCAAATGCATCTTTAAAAGCAATATAAAAAAATATCTTTCTTTTTCCTTTTCTTCTTCTTCTTCCTGTGGCCCAAGGCAAATAATTCTGCAAGCAGGTAGATTGTTGCTGATCTAAATATTCAATAAACTGACAATATGAATTAAAATCCGAGAGTTAATTTGAATTTTTAATAAAACTACTTTAAGAGATTTTTTTTGTTTAAAGCACATGAGTGCACAATATTGTTCTTTTCCTAATTTTAAGATTTCTTTACACAGTGGAGAGAAGATTAAAACAAATGTCAAACTATAATTTATGTGTGAATCCTCCTTTTCTTTGCCACAACATTGTCTTAGGCTTCTGTATTGTCAACTGATTTCTGATACAGGTCACGTATATGCAACATTTCCTGTGTGATAAATTTATTTAAGACAAAATTTAAAAAAAAATCAATTATGCTTAGACATTTTGAAAACTTAATTTCTTGCATTTTGCACTCCTTTATTTTTACCAGCTGGCTGAAAGTAGGATAAGTAGTGAGAGAAGCAGAGATGCAGATTTGCACAACTAAGTGCATCTTTGCAGTGTTTTTGTGGGACTTGTAGATTGCTCCTGACAAGTGTATGTAAGATGCATGATGCTTGAACTCAGTATATTGCAAAACAATGAAAAGAAAAGGGTAAATGAAGGCATGTGGCTTTGTGAGGGAACGTGAAGAAGCAGAAAGAAAATTCTGATATAGTGATGATCATACTAAGTATTTGAGTCAAATAAGTCTGTAAAATATTAATGGAAGCAAATAAACCAGCAACTGAATAAACAGGAAGATGTAGAAGAGGAACGAATATTTCAAGGGGCATGGGTTGAGAGCTTATTAAGATAAGACAATAATTGCTATATACTGTACACTTTGATCACGCCTAGTGCTAGATTGCTATAGCATGCTCCTTTATTCCCTTTCTATTTCAGCCTCTTATTAACTCTGCTGTCTGTCTTTCCAGTTCCTGTGGAGTGGTGTTGTCAATTGTGTTCTTGTTGGTAGTTTTTTTTTCACTATTCTGCTCCTATAACTGATCTGCTAATTTGCTGTTTTGAACTCAGCCTTTGTCGGAATTATGAGTAACACAAGATCATACAAACTGCTAGACTGGAATAGTTTCAATTCAGGTATTTTACTAGTCATTCAGTACTACATATGCTGACAGAAATTATGGCAGCTCAGTGAAGTTCTTAGAAATGCTGTAGGATATTTAGGTTAATGCTTCAAATTTTAATCTGTTTAACCATCAAATGCCTAAATGTCTTGTTTTAATGTTGTTAAAGGCTTTCTTTAAAATTTCAAAACATTGTTTTAGTATAAAATAGTGTTGCTAAGAATAATTTAATATCAATCTGGAAAGCTGAATGTTCAGATGACTGTTTTGTAGTAGCTCTCAGTTCAGTGTCCATGAAGCAAATAAAAAAAAAAAGAGAATGGATTCTTATTTATACAGTTGGGATCATGTCAGGTATGATTTTGTTTGTTTGTTTGTTTTTAAAATATTTTTTATTGGTTTAAATTTTTTTGGGGGGGGAATGTTGGTTGGTTTTATTTTGTTTTGCATGATCTTGCATTTTGTTTAACAATGGCTCTAATTCTGTTAGTTTCAGGAAACTGATGAATGGGTTTGTTCTAAATAATAGACATAAAATTGTCCGAGAGAATGGAAAATAAAGAGGATGATCTGCTTAAAGAGGAGGGTGGTATGTAGTACAGAACTTGTTAATAAGTTTTGTATTGTGAAATGGAGTCAGCTTGCAGGACTTAGAGCGTAATGATTTGAACTTTTTAAATCACTTTAACACCTAACTCAAAAGTGCCCCAATATGCTATTTTAATGCAGTTTTAGGGATCAGTTGCAGAGAGAATGAATGAGTTGATGATGCAGTCTGTGTAGAAGTTACTGGTCTCTTATGAAGAGAAATAAAGGCTTCCCTTCCCCCTCCCCCTTTCCCTCTGGAAATGTAGCATGCTTTGGAAAGGAGAAAAGCATACCTTCTCTGTGTATAATATCCAAGCTAGCAGACCTTGCCAAAATTCCATATTTTTAGAGCTGGCAAAGTAGAAAGGTATAAAGCCTCTGGGAGTTTGTTTCCCCTTGGTACTTCACTGTTGCTGTGCACCTCTGTCTCATTAGTCTTTGAATGTTGCAGTGTCATACCTAAAACCTCATTTTAAATTACCAATATACTTTTTTAATTTTACAAATAGTTCAATAATAGATAATGCCTAAAATCTTAGGCTCATTTTTGTATCCTTGTTGCTTGCTACAGTGAGCATCCTGTAATATAATTATGAGGTTTACTTGTTTTTATGTGCTTGTTCTGAAGTGATACCTTTTAAAAATAATTTTCCTTCCCATAAGAAAATAGTATTATGGAATCCTCAGATCTATTACTGGTATAGCATAGTCTATATGAAAAGGTGATGAAGATGAATCTGAAAAATAAAGATAGAGACACAAGAGCACAAATTCATAGAAAAGAGGGCACATAATACCGCAGAAGAAATACTCTGGTGCTGTCTCTGAAAAAGGATGTTAAAGATGTACTCTATAAATATAACAACATGAAAGGAATCCTGGATCAAGGAGACTGGATCTTTTTAAAGTTTCTCCCCAGGGTTGAATACAGAGAAGGTTCCTTAGGAAGTGCAAGGAACTTGCTGAATAGAGACTGATTTTGCATATGGCTGTTACATAGCACTAGCACATACACTGTTCTCAGATAATTAAATTTTTAAACTCCTCACTCAGGAAACTACTTCAGGAGTCAGAAACATGCAAGGAGAAAAGATGGTAAATATAATTCATAAAGATCTCTTGAGCAGCTTGTTTTGATACCCAGACTTGCTATTGGACTGAGAAATTCTCCAGAACTCTGATTTTGTATGTGAGGAAACACAAGAGGAAGGCTTGAATGTGTTTTGATTCTGTGACTGAATGCTTTTCTTCCACAGAAAACCAAACATACAGTGAATGCAAATTACATTTCATACTGCTGTCTGGGAGGGTAAATGTGACATACTTGTAAGAACACAGTAGAAAATGACAGAATGTTTTTGTTAGTGTCTGATGTGGCTATCTTTCAGAACCAGTAGAAAAAAAAAACCAAACATTTAAAGCTTAACCTCTTGCCTTTTTTTGGAGAATTTCCAGGTTGACTTCTTGTACATTGGTGTATGTTGATAGGATAACGAGAGGTCAAGGCAGTTGTCAGAGGCTTTTCTGAACACAATGAGGGGTACAGTGTTTTTTAGTAATATTTTAATCTGCCTTTCCAGAGGAGTGAATATTCCTAAATGGTTTTTATGGTTAATGTGAATGGTGTTTGAATATTCTTTTTTGGAGCAGATTCACTCTTGTATTAATGAAATAATTTTCTTTGGGATTGTGCAGTATTTTGTATAGCTCTGAGTAGATATTTCTGTAACTGAATAAAGGATGGTCACTGTCAGCGAGTATAGAATAGTATTCCTGTGTTTTGTTAGAGATTTTTAAATTAATAAACTTGGCATTTAAAACCTTTGATTTAGATTTTTTTTTAACCTAAAAGTAAGTAATGCTGTTTAATCCATTGATACTGATTTAAAAGTGTCCCTGATATTTGGCTAAATATCTAGTAAAGCTGTTGCTTATTGCACCACTACAGTTTAGCTTTGAACTGATAGTACACAAGAGAGAGAACCTTGGTTTTGGAGAAAATTGTATTCTTGCACATAACTCTTCCTAATTTCAAAATGTGGGGCTTGACTAAAACTATTATCTTCATGCGATTTTACTTCATGATTGCTGTGAGTTTTGTCAGTCTTATGACGAGTCACTCTGTGGTTGCAAAGATAGAGTTGTAGAACTTCTTCCCTGGCTCAAAATATATTATTGTTAGAAGAAAACGGTAATTGTTCTAGTTGAAAAGACACTTTCCTAACTACTACATAATTATGGGCAAACATATCCTTGTAAAATGTCTGTAGACAGTATTGTAGGAAAATGGCAGAGAACTAAGATAAGTTCTAATTGACCGTAACAGGATTAAAGAAAAACTCTGGATAAATGTTGATGTATAAGATCATTATCTGAGCTGAATTAAGCACAAGTGATTTTTCTTCTAAGACTAAAGTTTCTCAATATTTCATGTGTTCTTATTAAAAAAATCAGCTTTGTCTTATTTCTGGTTTGATTTGTACTTTGGATTTTGTTAGTGCTATTTATCTTTGATCTTTTGCATTAATATTTTCAATGTTTTTTTAGGATTTGAG